CAGGCTGGTTAATAATGAGAGACAACAGGGCCTGAAGTATTTCAGTAGAAGTTGATCAATGATACCTCAGAAGTTAGTGAACTACAACAATCACCATCCCTATGGCCTTCGGTGAGAGATTTTGGAAATAGTAGTCCAGCGATATTTGGAATAGCATCTACCCCTATATCAATCCTTGATGTCTTGGCAGAGTAGTCTGCCAAGAGTAGGTCTCCAACTCTCTTAAAAACCTTTTGTCCCAACTGATTGCAGAAAATGATTGTCCTAATACTCCTTAAGATGTAATAAGAGGACTACTTAGAAAACAACCAAGTATTTTGCAAAGTTAAAAAAAAGTAACCATTAAACAAAAGCATAAAAGAAAGATTAGTATCTCCCTCCAACTCTGAGGCTACCAATAGTGCTGTTCTTCATAAAGGAGTTTAACCAAGATATTAAAGATTTAAAGTTGGTTGGTATGAGTGGTTAAAGAAAAGGTAATATTTGATATTTGGATAAGTTATGGAAATGACAGAAGATGTGCATTTAATCACAAACTATATAGAGAAATTAAAACATTAAAAGAACGAAGGAGTTATTGTAACAAGGCAGATCACATCAATGATAAAGATAAAGAAAAAAAATTTAACCATTGCTCAATATATGCTGTAAAATGTATATATGTATATGTGTGTGTGTGTGTGTGTGTGTGTGTGTATGTATACACATACATACATACATACACACATGGTATTAGGCTTTGTTCGGGTATTTTCCCACGTCACTGTAGTTGTGCTTTTAAAGTTGTAGCAACGTTTCGGCAGAATCTCATCTGCCATCATCAGGCTTCTGTACGAACACAATAAAGAAGCCTGATGATGGCAGATGAGATTCTGTCGAAACATTGCTACAACTTTAAAAGCACAACTACAGTGACATGGGAAAATACCCGAACAAAGCTGAATACCATACATGTAAGTACCCGCGAAAACTTTAAAAAAAAAAACAAATATATATATTGATTTGTCTGTTTTAAATGTATGTCAAATAAATGTTTTTTCTAGAATAATTTAAAAAAAAAAAGATTTAAAGTCTCTGAAATAAATAGCTGGTAGAAATATATATTTTAATATCTTGTACACAAAAATTTTGCGACATACTATTATTTATTTTGCAAACAACCAGGTTTAAAAGTATGTCATAACTATTACTAACTACATAACTATTACAGATGGTTGTTGCTTAACAACCACAAATGGGACTGTCAACTCTATTGCTGAACCGTAGTCAGTAAGTAAGACATTATATGACATGTCACACTTATAACTTTCTTTCATTGCGGTCATTAAGCAAATCTCCCATGTTTATTAAGATCATCATGTGGCCGTGATGTGCAATTTTAATGTTGGTTTCTCCATTAGCTCTGATTATTGGAAACCAGCTGTGAAGTACACAAATTGTGATGTTCAAACTGTGGAACACTCAATGGTTATAAATGCCCAAAATCCAAATCTTCAGGGATGCTACAACAGTTCTGAGTGTGAAGAATGGCCATAAAGTTATTTTTTCAGTTCCATCATAACTTCAAATGGTCACTAAATAAGACATTTGATAAAACAAAGATTACCTATAATTTAAAACCCAAAATATATTTCAAACCTGTCACAAATTCATCTATTTTTTAACATTTTGTCTTATTTTAATACTTGAAAACTTTTCAACAGCTGGCTTAAACTGTAGTGTAAGGCTGAATAGCATTCCAAAATGGAATATATGCTAGAATATATCTTATGTCAATGAAGATTAAATCAAAGTCCTGCATGTTTACTTAGAAATATTATAAACGACAGTTGTAAGCATGATACTTAAAATAAACCAGCTTTCAGATTTTAGGGATAAAGGCAGCAGTATAAATATTCGACACTAATAAAATCACATCACTAAGAGATAAGCTTTAGTATGGGTCCTGTTATTGAACAAATCTAGAAACATGCAGGTTTCATGCAGACTGTTTATCTTGTCATATTGTATAAAGGCAGCCTATTTTAATTCTATTGGCTTCAGTGGTTTAATTTCAGGTACTTAGCTCTACTGAATCACTGAAGCAGGAATCTGTACAGAAGGCAATACACATATATTGTAGGTGTGTACACACTTACAAAGATACTTTGATTATAAAATTCTAAAATTATGGATCAGGCAGGGACATATAGTTCAACTTTCATACACAGGAAAACCAATTAAAGTGTCCTTGAGAGGTGGTTATCTATCCATTTTTAAAAACCTCCATGAACAAGAATCCATGACCTCTGTAAGTAGACTGTTCTATAGTTGTTCGGATCTCATTGTCAGAAACTTTTTCAGTTCATTTAGAATAGTTTTCAAATATGACTCCATTACATGAAGATATGGGAATGATAGCTACAAGCTTCCATCTACCTACTTAAACAGATCTTCATCTATGACTGTTCTCTGTAATCCAGGAACTTTATTTGTGGCATTTAGGAACCTGACAAGGCAGTATGACACACATTCTCCATTTTATCTTTCTTGCAGTGAGGGAAATGGTCTAAATGGGCTAGCTCTATTGCAATCAAATTCAGAATCACAGCAAAGGAAATATCCTTAAATGTATTTTTAATTGGTTCCCTACTGAATCACAGATAGAACTTTACTCACCAATGGTGCACACCACAATCCATTTCTGTTGAAAGGATGGCTTTTACAGAGAAAAAAATTACTATAAATGCACAACATACCTCTCCTCTCTTGTCTCCATGGAATAATTCAAACCCAAAAATACTTTGTAAGTCTATTATCTCTTAAGTAACATATCTTAAACAATTCTGTATGTATTATGAAACCCAAGCTTGTAAAACATAACTAAGATAGTGTGACTTGAAAATCTATGTGTACTCTTAGTACTCTTCCAGCTGAGCCTTAATCGTATCATGGAGTATCAGCTGACTATAATTTTTTTACAGGGAATTCTTATAAAAATTAATATTAGAAGTCAGAAAAAAGCATCCCAACCCAAATCCATCACTATTATTAAATTAAAAATACATATTTTCTTCTTTACCTAGCTAGTGTGTGCAAATACATTATCTTTTTATTATGTCCTGATATTATTTATCATACTGGACACTCAACAAGGGGGTTTAATGCAGCTCTCCAAAGGTTTAGATTTATCTAATGAAGTAAACTGTAATTATTTTTCTTTTTTTTTAAAGTAATATGAGAATTTGCTAAAAGCTTTCCATGCACATCCATATCTATCAAGAGCAACTGCTAATGTATTCTTGCAATTTTCATCTTATGACTTGTAGGAATAGAAAATGCACAATCTTATAAAAGGATGAAGCATTTTAATAAGGAATACCAGTAAATGGCTTATAACTGTTAACAGCTAAATCTTGTACTTGTACTCAAACAAATAAACAAAGTTTTGATTTTGACACCCCACTTCATAAAACCTTAATGCTTTTTTTGTTTTATCTAGTATATCCAGTATTACATTCAATATTATATATAGAATAGTAGATACAGAAGTTGGAGCTACCCAGGGCAGCAGGTGGGAGGCTACTTCTGCATGTAGAATGTCTTTATTCTCTCTTATAACCTTAAATAAGATGAATATCAGCAGAGAATTTGCAGCTCAGTTCTAACGTTCACAATAGAATCTTAGTAACGGTCTCTCTCGCTCTCGCTCTCGCTCTCCCCTTCTTTCTCTCTCCCTCCCTCCCTCTCTTTCTCTCTCTCTCTCCATCTCTCCCTCCCCCTCTCTTTCAAAGGTAATTCAACTGAATCAACTTGTTCAATAAAAGCTTTGAATCAAGTTTCTAAAGTGATGCAAATTGCCTTTGAATTCTTTTTCAGAGATTCTAGGGTAATTCTGAGACTTGGTACATTTTTCTTGCTTTGTAAAACATTATTGTAGTTTTTGTACATAAACAAAACTGGTAAGGGAAGACTGGGTTGTTATGAGTTTTCTGATATTGATATAAATAGAGGACTGAAAGTTTTATCAATTCTATGAACCCTGCTTGTTTGAATCCTGGGGGAAAACTGCTGTACCATTTATATCTCTTTCTCTTCTATTAGCAGTCTAGTCCTTTGACTCCAAGACAGATATTGAATATTTGCAAAAAAAAAAAAATGTAGATCTTCTTCCCTTGTACATGCAAGCAAATGCTAATGTGAGTGGATCTTTTATATATTCAATAAGAGAAATAATTCCCCTAGGATCCTAGTTTATTCTTGTGAATAGACCACTATTATGAACATTTAGGTGGGAGTTTGTCAGCTGCAGCAATATAGGAATAATCACAGTCATTTACATTCCATTAGACTATTAGTCTAACTAGTTCAAAACAGTTTATGCTGGCTGGGTCTAGCTCTTCAGTTTCTGACAAGACTATGCCTCTTCATACCATATTTGAAAACATCTGGATTAAAAATACGAGTTCCATATGCCAAGCATGTATCACTGAGTAGACACCAGTCGCACTGACTTTCACACTGAAAATCTTGTTAAATAGTTTCTTCTTACCACATAGTCTGGCAGCTATTAAATGAAAAATAATCAAAAAATAACTATAATATGGTGTTAAAATGTGGTAAAATGAGGCGACCGTGAATAGCTCACATTTTGTAGTGTTTGTGCTAATTAATCAGGACTTGATGATACTTCAGAATAAAATGGATGCTCAGAATCCTATGGAGAAATACAGGAGCAATTTTACCACTAAACTATAATATCCAATCTCACCTGTTTGAGAACAACCTGATTCACACTTGAAGAATTAAATTAGCTGATTTATTGATCAAATCTATGCACAGGAATCTTCTCAGACTAACAATTTGCACCTGGATGAGATCAGATGAGGTTCAAAGATATTCAGGGAGGCTCAGACTTCATCCTGTTGTGACCTTGTAAGGATTCTAGACAAAGTCCCCATTTGACTCCTCCCCCTGGTTCAGTCAGTTTCTCTCCTATAAATTTCAAGAATAAAGATTACCTGCCGTAAGTCAAGTGTGATGGTCACGTAGTGATATTCCATTCCATTTTGAATGCTAGGACTTTGCCACCATGTATTCTTGCCATCAATTGCATTTGATATGGGATGTCTCACTGTTGAACCAAGAAAAAATTAATTAGCACAAAATGAAACTCATCTTCTTTACCCTTCATTCTGTTTTCATATGAGTGCAAGTAGAACATACTACATAATATCTTAGATAAAATTATTTTTCTAAGTTTCTTATGACACAGTGCTGACTTTGCGTTGCTTTGTGATGAAATTAACTTCAATGAGTTCTTTAGAAAATGAATTAAGACAGGATTATATGGTGACACAACTTTCCTTTGTCTATCTGTAATGGGCAGAAGAAATAAACTTGAGGAACAGAAAAAAGAACTGCAACCAACACAATGGTCATATTAAAAAGAATCTGAATTGGAGTAGAAGAATAATTTGAGAAAGTTCCTCATACATGACCCTCTTTAGTTCCCAGAAAGATAAAGGAGGGAGAGGGAGGGAAGGAAAGAGGAAGCACAAATTTCTTTTACTATAATAGATACTAAAAGTAGTATTAGTTTGTGTGTCTTCAGTTTCCAAGTACATCGCTAAATGTCTTTGGAGATTGTCAGTCATCCAGGTCATGGTTGTCCCCAAAATACTTTTTCAAGACGCAACTGGACTTTCTGTTTTTTCTATGAAGATGTTTCGCTTCTCATCCAAGAAGCTTCTTTAGCAGGTTTTCAAGCTACCTTGGAGGACTGGCATTATCTCCACAACTTCCCATTTGCTTCTGCTCAGAATAATTCACTGGATTCTGATGTAATGAAATAGTCATTAATTCCAAAGGAACCTGAAACAGATTTATCAGGCACCTTCCAATGGCATCATTAGTACTCAGAAGTGATCCCTAGTGAGCTGCATCTAAGGAAACCGTCTATCTGTACGATAGCTAATTTTGCTAAAAATCTATTTTTTTAAGATCAATAAGATCAATGTCTTAATATTTAATAAGAGAAAACATATATATTAAAGGTTATACAGAGATTCAAAGGAATGTTTCGTGTATAAATACACTCATATATATTATGTAGCCAAAGCAGACAATAAAGTCAAAGCACCTCTGCCTCAATCTTTTGATTAAGAGTCAAGACTTGACTCTTCAAAGAAACATGTTAAGGTTCAATGTCTATATTAACAGGGAAAACTGTTGCAATTTACAGCTCAGGAAACAAAAGAGATTGGATAGTTTATCCTGGGGATGAGATTACTTGTTCCAGCAAGACTAGCTTTTACATCATCTGAATATCTTAGTCTGTCTCCCCCTTTGGCCTCTTTCTCAGCTGAACTTGGTAGTCCATAAAAAGCACATGTTTCTCCTGAAAAGCAGACAAGAGAATATTTTAATGGATAATGGCACCAGAAAATGCCTGAGATGTTAACCTAGCTTGGTAATGAAACATTTTCAGGAAAAGGAGCAAGGTCGAAGGACACAAAGCACCATCCAACAATTGAAGAGAATTCCATAAACCAAAATTTAGTTTACAGTGAACGGGAGTATGTTTATTGTGCATTAGCTAATTTAGCAAAAGCTTATGATCATGTAAATAGAGTTAATTATGGAATACTTCACAAGCATAGTAAGGTGAGGCTACTGAATGCAACAAGGTGGACATGTGATAGAAGTAAAGCACACACAAATATATATATAAAAAAAGAATAAACAAGGTGGAGATACAAAATTCATTGCTTCAGGAATGTTTTGAGAACTGTGAATATACCAGTCTATGATTTCCTCAGACCAGAGGTGGTATTCAGCAGGTTCTGACCAGTTCTGGAGAACTGGTAGCAGAAATTTTTAGTAGTTCAGAGAACCTGCAAAACCACTTCTGACTGGAGATTTTACTGTATCCTTCCCCTGCCACACCCACCAAGTCACGCCCACAGAACTAGTAGTAAAAAACAATTGAATCCCACTATTGCCTCAAACTATACCTTCACTTTTTGGATCATGCTATTCAAGAGGAATCTGGTAAGTTTGAGGTATTCTGTAGTTTAACTAATCTTCAAATAGGCCTGTTTCATCAGGAATGTTTTATCTAAAATATCTTGAACTATTTCCCATTGCTAAACCACACCTTTAACAGGGACCTTGTAGGTCATCTAGTCCTACCCCCTGCCCAAGCATGCGACAATACATCACTTCTGACCTTGAACTAGTTCACTAGGCCATGCTCCTGAGTTTTCCAGAATTGAGGAATTTGATATATTCTTCATGAGTGGATTGAAGGGAAGAGAAAGATGGAGAAAAACAAAGTTGATTGGCTAGTACTACTGAGACCATCAAAAAAGAAAAAATGAGAAGTTTAAAGCAAAAATGGCAGTATATAATCCAGGTATGGACATGGAAGAAACAAAGATGGTTTCCAGAAACAGAAAGATATGAAGAGGTATAATGAATATTGTTGTAAAGAATATTTGCTTTTCTCTTACCGGTTTCCTTTAATTTATTTTACTCACTACTTTCCTGATTGTTATATATGTATAATTGCTTGGCATATATCTATGTTGCTTAAAGAAAATCATTACCATTGAAACCATTAAGCAAGGTTAATGTGTAAATTAATGTTTTCATATTATGTCAGTATTTCAAAACAAAAGCAATCTTTTCAAAATCATTGATAAATAAAAATGTCTGACTATAGCTGAAAACACAATTAAAACATTTGTTGGGAGAGAATCTGTTAGCTCTAAAACTGCAAATGCTCAAAAAAATGTACATAGATATCAAATGATTCAGCAGCACAAGGAAATATTAACATGTCACATGTAATAAAATTGGAGAGAGGAGTATTTTTCATTGGATTTGTTATCTCTTTTACAAAAAATCACCCCAACCCTGTTAGCTAAGAAGAAAGAAGAAAAATTACTCTTGGCACTATGTGATCTTTTTACTGCCTCTGAACTTTTTCCCCTCCAGCAATGAGCTTAAATGTATCTTGGGAGGAAAAAAAAATCAGCTGTAAATCAAGCCCAGGTCTCCAAGGTGATAGCAATAGAAGTTGTCTAATTAGAAATGTTGCTATCAATCTCCCCGCATCAAATTGATATGAGGTGCAGTCATGAAAAGAAAGAATGAGAGATGAATATACAATTAACTGTAATCCCATTACAGAAGTTTAATCTTAATTAAATTGAAACCACTGATTAATTGCTGAAATATATTTTATTACTTTTTTAAAAAGTGAGAGATAATATAAACTATACAGTGCCTTCAAGAAAGACGGGGGTAGGATCTGATAGAGCTAAAAGCTTAACATAAAGACCAGCCTCGGTGATGAATGACGAGGGAGTTAGCTTGCACACAAGCAACTCATCAAAATGTGGTCTTTAATTTGGCCTCACATATGATTAACCAGGGAGTGTGTGTTCATTTCCTTCCACCATAATTAAGGGGAGATGCACCAGATTCACAAATTCCAAGGGGACCATTTAAAGTCTGGTACATTACATGGCACTCTTATTAAAGGGCCATCTATGGTAAATAAAACAGTTCATGGTGCCAAATGAACATTTTGCAAACCTTAAAATGAAATGAGTTTGTAATGAAAGACCATGTGTTTGAATGGCTGTCTGCACTGCAGATTAACAGCAGTCAGAACTGCAGATGTGGGGTCTTGAGAGGCTGCTGAACTGATTCGTACTGGATTTTAGCTTAAAGAACCTTCAGAATTACCCCACAATTTTTTTTTTGAGGAATGATCACAGGTAAGCAACTTATAGTATTCGGTCTGGGACTTCTCCAAAAATAAAACATGGTATTTGGATATTATGTATAATATTATAAATTTTCCTACATTTTCTTTTATTCAGAATGCTTAAGAATGGTATGAAAAATGTCTTATCTGTCTCCACTTCCTTGTTTGACGGACTCCAAACATGATTCCCCAGTTTATTCTCCATTGGTGTATAAGAAAGGCCATCTGCTGATTCTCCCTGCTGGTTCCCTCCCCACCACATCCCTGTTGGTACTGTTTCTACTTATAGAATATTCTAGCCTATGTTTGATTTCTTCAGTTCCAAACTAAGGCTGGAAATAATCTGCCCCAATTTCTATTGTCACTGAAGTAACATTGCTCCCCCCCCACCTCCACTTTGACTGGGGGCAAAGAAAGACTACCATAGGGACAGGAAAAATGGGGCTTATCTCCTCTACAAATTGTGCACTCTAATGTCATCTGGAGGCCAGTAGAGCTGAAAACAAATTTCCAATTTCTGGTTTTAGTTCTATAGGGGAAAGAGTTGGCAGACTTGCTCTCATATAATCATAAGACATCCAACGTGCAGATGATATTCTACAATGGCTGTGTTCTGTTCCTGAATCAGAATCCAGCATAATTCCTAGCAATAGCACTTAGACTTATATACAGCTTCATAGTGATTTACAGCCCTCTCTAAGCAGTTTACAAAGTCAGCATATTGCCCCCAACAATCTGGGTCCTCATTTTACTGACCTCAGAAAGATGGAAGACTGAGTTAGTTTTGAGCCAGTAAGAATCGAACTACCGACATTCGGCAGAATTAGCCTGCAATACTGCATTCTAACCACTGCGTCACCATGGCTCTTGATCCAATATAATAATTTCAGCTGAGAAAAAGCATTGATGGTTTCAATGTGCATCCACACGGAGAAGGAGGTTAAGAACATGAAATAGATATAATACACTTACAGTTAGGATTCCTACTAAGCTGGTCACAGATACGGCATTGAGGGTTTCTTGCTGGCTGGCCAGGGACATGTTCCACCAGTTTACAGTACATTTCTGGACCTCTTTTACCACAGGTAGCATTTGTGGTGATGAGAGCATTATAAGCCAAGTTCAGCACTGCAGGAAACAAACCTGAAAAAAAGCAATACTAGAGTAAAATATTCATAGAAATGTTACATATTTTGGTACAGGAATTAATGAAATACTTTCTACAGCACTTTTAGAAGTCATATTGATTCAGTATGCATAGAACACACTGCAAAAATATAGTCAAACAAAATGTCACAGATTTTGCCTTTAATATAAGTAACACTGAGAAATCAAAAAGTATAGATCAATGGTTTTCCGACTTCAGGATCTATGTTAGTGTCCATTTCTGTGATCTCTCTCTCTCTCTCTCTCCCTCTCTCCTCCCTCCCTCCCTCCCCACGCTCTCATCTATCTTTCTCCATTTATCTCTCTATCATTTTTCTCTATCCAACTATCTAACCACCTCATCATGGACTCCGAACAACACACAATTAAAAACCTATACAACATGTAAAATCAGAAACAAGAAACATGAATGTAACAGAAGGAGGAACAACTATAGCCCACACAAATGGCAGACCAATTTAGTTAAGAGCTTGAAGGAAAACAATACATTTTTAAAGATGGTCTAAATGTTTTCAGGGTCAGAGCAGTCCGAATTCCAGGGGAATGCTTATTTTTAAAAAAAGATGTTATGATAAGGAAACATGGATCCCAAGTCTCATCATATGAATGGGAACTGATGGGTGTCTCCTCTGTCAGATCTTACAGGACAAAATTGTTGGGAGAGAGACAGTTCCTTAGACAGGCAGGCTCTAGGCCATGAAGGGCTTTATAGCTGATAACCAGCACCCTGAATTATTCTCAGAAGCTCACTACAAACCAGCGGCATTCATATAGAAGAAATATTGCATGAGTATGTTCCCAATACTGTGTTACTGCATTTTGAATCAGCTATAGTTTATGGGGATGCATCAAATACTTTATTTAATGTATTTATTTATTTAGTTTATCAAGCATGTATGAGAAAACAAGTATAAGTATGAACATAACATATAAACATATAAGTATAAACAGGTATAAGTATATACATAATAAATGAGTATGAATAAATGGGAACAGTAGGACAGGGATGGTAGGCATGTTGGTGTACTTTTGCACGCCCCCCCTTACAGACCTTTTAGGAATGGAGTGAGGTTCACGGTAGACAGTTTAAAGATTAAAGTTTTGGGGGTTTGAGGATGTAACAACAGAGTCGGGTAGTGAGTTCCAGGCATTGACCACTCTGTTGCTGAAGTCGTATTTTCTGCAATTGTGTTTGGAGTGGTTTACTTTGAGTTTGCATCTATTGTACTTTAAGAACCATGTCGCCATAGACACTTAGCTGAGCCAGTTTTCCTCCATCTAGATTCAAACAGTGTCCAGGCGCTGGAACACAACTTCAATTGCATCCCTTGGTGCAGAAGAGAATAGGATGAGCAGATAAATATCATAAATTTTCTGATGGTATCTGGCCTCAACAAAACATTAGCACTCTTTTCCTCTTTTCAAGCTTTTGCATTCCCAGTAGGTTCCACCTTTATTCCAACAGTTTTCTGCAGTGATTTTAACATCTGTAGTGTATTGAATTGATCAATAAGTGAAACTCTGGATTTTCTACTCAAAAACTTTAAGTTGTAAATGTGGATTGATGTTGATGTTACAGTATATTTTTAAAAACAAAATAGACTAATGAGCTAGGTATACAGAAAACAAATGAGGGGTGACATTGTTGTAGTGGTTATGTTGGACGACGTTTGGGGATATCCTGGTTCAAGCCCACTGTCATCCATAAAATCTCATAGGGCGATATTGGACCAATCACACTCTATCAGCTCAACCCTCCTTACAGAGTTATTGTGGTGCGAGGCACAATTTATACTGTCTTGAGCAACTGGTGGTAAAGTGGTATTAAGCATAAAGTAGAAGAGCAGCATCTTCTCCTTGCCATATACATGTCTCCAATCGTTCTCTGGTTTCAGCTACAAACTTTAATAGGCACAAAGTCTAACCTCATCTAAAATTGTCAGGGGTGGACTTGAATGTCTAACAGATTTTCAAATAATTTCCCGTCTTCTCCCTTGCAGAATTAATGCAATGTTATTCAGCCCATTTCTTTTAATCTGCCACCTCAGTTCCCTTGTCTGTCCCTGCAATTAACCTTTGTGTCATTTTATTACTGACCCTGTTGGTCATGGTACAGTTATCCTCTGACATTCTACATTACTGACTCCAATGCTCCCTTTAAAACTAGGTTAAACATATTACCTAAGCAAGGCACCCAATTAGTTACTAACATGTTCAATTTGTACAGCCAGTCAATCGATAGTTAGAATTTTGTCAAATTTGCAGCTTATCATATTTTTCTTGTGTTTTTAAGTTCTATATTTTACTCCTGCTGGGTTTTCCTTTTTAAAAAACACTATTACCACAACAACTCTTCACCACCATGATTTGGATATATTTATGGCTGTCTATTGTTCAGGGAGGGGTGCACAGTAAAAAGTGGGTACTGAAAGTGCAAATGAATTGTCAGTGGCTCCAGCAGCTCCCAATTGACTTACAACCTTATTATGTCTGAAGCTCTGTGGCGTGACTCACACAAAAGGCAGCAATCATTTACACATAAGGTAAAGACCCCCATCCTGCTTTCCTCTAGCTTCATCTAACGAGAACATGATATAAACACATAAAGTATTCAGGTAGAAAAAGGATTTACACCAGAAGATGTTGGAAAACATATCAAAGGAATATAAACAGAAGGTGTGAAACAGTAATAGGGAAAACAAACACCACTGTAGATTTCCTTTTCCTTTCATTTATTCCTGTTACATATTCACAATAATGTAGCATGAGGACAGAATGACTATTTAGGGACAACTAAATATTAAATGCAGATGCAATCTCCTAGTGGTATAAAACAAAATAGAAAGGAAAATCACCACACGAAAATTGGGTAATATTTTTCCTAACAACTGGATATTTTTGTTTTTGCCTAAACTTGGTAATCAAGGCATGATTATCTGAGAAAAAAGTAGTGTTTAATACAGCATAGTATCTGCTAACCTTGCTAGACATTTTAGACATGCTAGATATTCACTCTCATCTCAATATATGCATATGTGTGTAAGTATAAATACATCGATTAGTCATTTGGGACACTTTTGAAACAAAATAAAAGGGTTGTAATTGATCTGCCATAGCAGGCCATTTAAGCTCACATTACTTGTTTTAATAAACATTATGAGTAACTCTGGTTGAATATAATCCACTTAAAGTCAACCAAAAACATGGCCATAAGTGGAAAAACCAATGCCACTAAGTTTACATATTAACATGTTTCTGTACCACTGATAAAGGCAATGGTAGCATGGTAGAATTAAAGTAAACTACAAAAATATATTGACTTTGGGTTATTTAAGAAAACAAACAATCAAACCATTGTCAATCAATAGCTCTAGTTCATCTTGCAAGAATTAATATTACTGCTGAAGTTCAGATTTACCAGTCTGGTTTGCAAGGGGACTGAGCAGTATTAATCTTTCCAGGCATGGCTATAATCCAATATTGTGCTCTTCTCCTGCTGAAATCTTGAATGTAGCATGATTGTATCCAAGTAATATGCCAGGCATGAGGAACTGTGCCCTTGAAAAGGATGTCAGGTTGCTCTTAAAGCATGTCTCACAGCAGAGATGCATCTGATATACAACTGAATATAAGAGACTTTCATGAAATTTAGTGTTGATGGCTTTGATGAAAGAGATTCATTCTTACTGCGGTCCTAATGATGTTGAGAATTGGTGCAATGTGGGAGGCAGTGAGAAGATCAACAATCACAAAATAAAACAGTTTGGTAAATCAGGTCCTGAATCAAATGTTCATCAATTGTTAAGATGAATAGTAATCTTTACTTAAAAGTTTCAGTTGGAAATATCTTTTGAGATAACTTCTTTATTTTAATTGCTTTTCCGCTAACTGCTGTGAAAAAATTGAAAATTTTAATCATAAACCATTAAAAGTCTTATAAAGGATTGTCTTGATCCTTTTCAGTCGAGGTTCAGAATAGGTATAAGAGGGGACATGGTATTGGATGATCTCTAGCCTGGGCAGGATGGGGGTTGTGCATCCATCCTTCCCTTCTTGACTTCTTGGCGGCTTTTGATAACATCAACCATGGTAGCCTTCTAAATTGGCTTGGAGAAATGTGGGTGGTCAACATGGTGTTGTGCTGGTTCACTTCCTTTCTTAGGGGTTAATTATAGTCAGTCAATGATTATGAAGAGCGGAGATCCCATCCTTGAGGTGCTGCAGGGTTCAATGTGTCTCCACTCCTATTTAACTTGTATATATCACTGAGTGAATCATCCATTGCCATGAGATGATGTATCATTAGTACACTATAAAAGTGTGCTAAATCCTTTATTAGCATGAGTTATAAACTCAAAGTATGCTGATAGCATTGAGTAAATTTAGAATAGGAAAGTCTTTGGTAACATTATTTTCTCTCCCCACTGATTGGAAGAGGAGGCCGGCTGCCTGTTCCAGGAAATGAAGTATTTATATTCCTTTTAAAAGGGAGTCGATTATCAAGAATATACTTAAAATTACACTTAAAATGGAATATCTGATGATCCATTCTCAATAAATTGAGCTAAAATGAAATTAAAATGCTCCCCAAATAGTTATTCATATACACTTTAGAAATTACTGTATCAGTGCACTTATTTTACAAAGACATATATCCATGTACTGATGTGCTCCCATGCTTTAGTTGTGAGCAGTTTATCAAATTCAATGGGAAGAAAACACTGTTCTCCATTGTGCTAATTTGATGTCATTAATCAAGAACAATAATTTGACCCTGTAATGCAAGGGTCTTCAAACTTGGCAAATTCAAAACTTGAGGACTTCAACTCCCAGAATTCCTGAGCTAACATGACTAGAATTCTGGGAGTCGAAGTCCACAAGTCTTAAAGACAATACTTGACAAGAAGTCAGAAACAGATTTTTACCCTAATGAATTGAACTAATTGTCTCCTGCAAACAGCACTCCCCTTTCACTC